ACTAATCCCCTAGTTGTCTCTAACCCCAGCCAAATTGAAAACCAAAGTTAGCCACACGATCTACTATTTATTCCTGGAAACAATGCATTAAATGAGAAAAAATTATTTTGGCTCACGGTTACAGTTCAAGGTCAGGTGGGCTCTCTGCTTTAGCCTCAGCTGAAGCAGACTATACCAGCACTGAGGACAGGTACTGCAGGGGTGTCCAGAAAACACCAGTAGCAGAACACATACTGGAGGGGGCATCCAACCTAAGCATAGATTCACTCACCTGCTGGTCTGTAATTCCACATAATGGAAATAAATGTTACTTCCCAGAGAATACTGTGAAACGTAGTTTGGGAGACCATTAACTCCTGGGTTTAGATTCAGGCTCTACCACTGACCATCTGTCTGTACATATGTCGAATGATAGACTTTTTGGGGGAGAGGCTGAAGGGACTGTAGCCAGTCCAAGCAAGGCAAACATGGCTCCAGCAGGCCTTACCCTTCTTTCCTATTCCCTCTGTCATACTAAGAATCATTAGATTACATTCCTAAAGCTAGGCACTGAGGTGAAAGGAAAAGTATGGCTCAGGACCCCCAAAACCAAGTTCTCAGCACAGAGGAGATTTATTTGTCCCAGAGGGACAGAGGGCAGGGAATAAGAGGCAAAGACAGAAGACAGAGGATGAGGGAGAAGGGAAGGGGATGAGAGAAAGGGGACAGGGCATTTGTCACCATGCTTGAGTTGGCCAGAGTCCCTTCACAAGGTCTACTCCCTTATTTGGCCCCTTCCTCCTCCTGATACTGACTACCGAGGTCAAGCTATCAAATAATAATCAAAGGCCCCCTTTGACTCACCTAATTAACATGCCCAATTAAAATTAAATGCCTCCCTAACACAGGGTTTTCCCTTTTACCTTAATAAGCCAATATTTTCCTGTGGGCCACATCTCTCTACTCTCTATCCAGAGGCAATCCTTTGTCATGCCCCTCCCAAATATCCCCTGTCCGCTTTCTCTTATTCCCTTCCCCTTCCCCTTCATCCTCTAGCTCCTGTCTTTGTCTTTTATTAATCTTATTCCTTTGTCTCTTATTCCTTCTGGGACAAATAAATGTCCTTTGTGCTGAGAACTTGGTTTTGGGGATCCTGAGCCAATGTTTTTCTCATATATGAACAACACAAATTGGATTAAAAAAACAGTTTTTTTTTGGGGGGGGGAGACCACAAGGGTTGGGGGGCAGACCTGGGAGGAGTGGGAAGTAAAGTGATCAGGATGTGTAGTGATATTTTGTTTGTAATCTAACAAAGTTTGGCTGAAGATCAGACAGCAGAGCTAAGCCACTAGTTAGCCATACACCAAGCCACTAGTTGGCTATATACCCTAAGGCACTAGGTAGCCATAGAGGAAAGGCAGTTGTGGCCACACTTTTAATTCCAGCACTCAGGAGAAAGGGGCAGAGGGATCTCAGTGATTTCAAGGCCACCATGGGCTACATGAGAATGAATCAGTCTAAAAGAGAAACAGAGCTCACACCTTTGATCTCAGCACTTAGGGTGACATGCCTTTGATCCTAGCACTAGATAGAAATATAAGGCAGGGGCTCAGGGCAGTCTGAGGTTTGATGGAGAGTATTGCAATCTGCAGTCACTCTGAGAACAGGACCCCCCCCCCATACTTTGGTTTTAGCCTTGGTAGAGGTAAGAACCCTTTAGTGGCTTGGCTGATTTGCTTTTCTGATCTTCAACTTGAACCCTAATATCTGTGTCTGGGTTTTTATTATTCATGCTACAAGAATGCATTATGTAAAATTCTCAAATGATCAACAGAAATATTATGTTAAAAAATTTGGATCTGATCTTGTCAACCTGTTTCTCAACTCAAGTTATGATTAAAGCATCCTTCTCTAGCTGAGGCTCTTGCCCAGGCTCTGCCTGAGATGTTGTCACTCCTCTTGCTGAGAATTGTTCTGCCCCAGCCTTTGCCTGAGATGTCATCCCTCTAGCTGAGGGTTGTTGTGCCCACCCTTTGCTTGAGATGTTTGTTCATGTGGTTCTTTCTATTGCTCTGTGATAAACCACCCATGTATCAAAATTCAATTTGATTAGTACTGACAGGCTATAAGGAATAGTTTTTTTTTGTCAACTTGATACAGGCTATAGTCATCTGACAGGATGAGAAAATACCTCTATACAATCAGTTGAGAAAATGCCTCTATAAAAATCAAGCTACATGTTAGCCTATATGGCATTTTCTTAATCAGTGATTGAAGTGGGAGGGGCTAGTCCACCATAGGTATGAGCATCTCTGGGCTGGTGGACCTGGGTTCTACAAGAAAATAGGCTGAGCAAGCCAGTAAGTACCATTCCTCTAGGGCCTCTGTATCAGCTCCTGCTTCTAGGTTCTGGTCTTATTTAAGTTCCTGTCCTGATAATAATGATGTGGGAGCATAAGGCAAATAAATCCTTTCTACCCTCATTAGTCAGGGTTCTTTAGAGGACAGAACTATAATATATAATACATGGGATTTATTTATTAGAATGGCTTACAGGCCGTGGTCCAGCTAGTCTAACAATTGTTGTCTACCAATGGAAGGTCCAAGAATTCAATAGTTAATGAAACTGAATGTCTCATTTGGTCTTCAGAATATGCCAGAATCCTGAACAAATAGTCTTTAAATGCCAGTGAAGGAATAGACTTACCGGCACAAGCATATACCTATCACCTTCTGGAGAACCCTATCCTAGCCCTTCAGACTGTTGCCACCTAATTGGCACTGTAACTGTGTCTTCAAAAGACCATTCCATCTTTCCACCAGGTCAGCTGCTTTGGCATGATGGGGAACATAGTACCAGTGGGTTCCACAATTGTGGGCCCACTGTCACACTTCTTTGGCAATGAAGTGATATCCTTTGTCAGAAGCAATGCCATGTGGAGTACCATGACAGTGGATAAGGCATTCTGAAAGTCCATATATGTTGGCTTTGGCAAAAGCTTTACATGCAGGAAAGGCAAATTCATTACCAGAATAAGTATCTACTCCAAGAAGGACAAAGTGTTTTTTACATGGAGGAAGTGGTCTAATATAGTAAATCTGCCACCAGGTCACTGGTATCCCTGAGGAGTCATGCCATATAGGCTTACTGTTGGTCTCTGCTGTTGGTAGATCTGGCACTCAGAAGCACCTGTAGCCAGGTCAGTCTTGGTGAGTGGTGGTCCATGTTGTTGAGCCCATGTATAACTTACATCTCTGCTTTGTTCATTGGTCCATGGGGCAATGACAGAGATGGCTAGGGAAAGAGGCTGACTGCCCATTTGGAATGATCTATCCACATATTCTTCCCCGATAGCTTTCTCACTAATTTTCCAATTGTGCCCTTTCCAAGTCCCTGACCATCTGGCTAGTCCATGGGCTACAGGCCCACATCTGGCCATTTCTCCTTCCATTAAAAAAAAGCATGACCATATGTACTATCCGAAGTTCTGCCCACTGTGAAGATTTCCCTTCACCAGTGTATTTCAGAGTTCTCCGAGAAAGGTGATATAATGCTATGGCTGTCCCCTTTTGGGCAATGCCTACACAAAGTTCAGAAACATCAGGAAAGCAGGCCCTAGTTTTCTCTTCCTCACTCCACAGACAGTAAGGCACACCTCATGAAGCTATAGGTGCACACTTGACAGAAGACAACACTGTAAGAGGAATAGAAACCATAGGCATTTGGGCAACTTCTTCATGTGACTTGCCTGTGTCTTCAGGACCTGCTCAGGCCTTATCACATATGTGACATTTCCATTAGTTAATAGATTGCTGCTGTGAATGTTCTACTCAATAGCTTCGTGGGTCCGATAACACACAGCTCATGATGGGAAGCTCAGGTTACATGGTAACTTGGTGGCCCATTGTCTAACGTTTAAGTTTCCACTAATTCACACTAGACATTGTGCTTTTTTCTTAGTGAGTGAGGGGCCAGGTTCAATAACTTATCCTTCACCTTAGAATGAATATTTCTCCATGTCACACACCACTGGACTTCTAAGAATTTCACTGAGGTAGAAGACAACTCTAAAGTCTTACATTTAGCCTTTCCAAACATTATAACCCTCACTCTACAGGTCAGGGAACCATTGTGAGAATTCTTCCAACTTCTAATTATACCTATCCCAGTAATACATTCTGAGATTGAGGAAATAACCATAGGATGAGTTTGGGGACATACTGAATCTACTGTGAGTCAGACATCAGCTGAAAAGCCATTAATCATCTGACCTCCATAAGCCTCTACTTTAACTGTAGGGACACGGTGATTCTCGGGACCTCCTAAAATCAGCATCAACTCAGAACTAGTATCCAATAGACTGAAAAGTCTGATCAGTTCCTTTCCCCCAGTGTATAGTTACCCTTGTAAAGGCCATAGGTCCCTCTGGGGAAGAACTGCAGAAAGGCCTTGGCTTAACCCCACACTTTGCTGTATATGATTACACAAATGTTATACTGTGAACTTCTATCATAGCCATCATATTTTACTTCTCAAGCACCTGTGTAAGGATATGTGGGATTTAGTCCCAAAAAGGAGGAAAGAATAAGCCTTACTTCTATTCTGAGTGCAAGAGGAAAGGTTTTAAAACATGACTTTTCAGTTGTAATATTTGGAGACCTTGTGTTGAAGACATTAACTATGAACTGGTAAGCCCAGTACAAAATTAGCCCCCCCCCCATACTCACAAAGATATTTGTCAAACCACATCCTTAAGCAAAATGGCTTTAAGTAAATGAATGCTCCTGACGAGTGACCCTTAAAACATGCCAGGGCTTTATCTGCAGGACTTAGGCACTTGGTGCATGCTGACTCAGTTATGACTTAGCAAATATCGAAATGGCCTCTACATGAGTGCATTTTTAAAGGTATGTTTTCTTCTTAATGTAGATCCTGGAAGGCTTTTGGAAATGCAGGTTGTAGCTGACTCAAATGAAGGAGTAACAGAACTTGAAGGCCATCATTGTGATCTATTTACAGGAAAAAATACAAACATGGACTATAAACTTAGTAGCCTTCAAGAAGAGCAGTCAGCAAGAAGAAATACAAGGCCACACTCACAGCAGGAAACACTGGCGTGCAAAAAGGATTCCTGCAATTTAAAGTATGCAATGCTGCACAGATGTAGGGGCATGTTGTCATTGTAGACTTCACTTCTTCAGGAGAGATCATGCTCTATTAGGTGTGGAATTCTTAGAAGGAATAGAACACTTTGTCAAACATGAGTAATTATAATGTAAAGGGTGTTCTCCCAAATCACAGCTTAATGGCTGCACGACGCCCACTAGATTTTTCTAATGAATTGAGGGTTTTGCATTTTAATTAATGCTGCAAGGAGTACCATTTTAGAATCTTTGTTGTTTTCTTGTGGGTTTTTAGTGTGTGTTGATAGAATGTCAAGCTATTTGTTTGCATCCATCACAGCCATTTCATCCTTTGTACTTTTCTGCATTCGCATAGCAACCAAAAGAAGGAGCTATATTTAAGTTAAATTAACTCCAAGGAGTCATATTTTATTCATTATTTTTAACTTTTCTTTTTGAAAGTGTTTATTTTTAAAAATAAGCTTACAAATAGCCATTTCAATGGTAAGTTATTTCATTTTGACTTTCCCCTTCTCATCTGTGTTCCCCCTTCCTTGCTGCGGCCTCCAGTATTCTCCCTTCCAGTTTCTTCTATCATTTCAATCCCTTTTTCTAAAGCCTCTTTTCTCCCCTGTCTCATGGGACCCTTCTTATACTTTGCCTTTACTCCCACCTGAATCCACTTATTTAACAGTTGGAGGCTAGGATCTACGTGTAAGGTAGAATCCACAATGTTTGTCTTTGTGAGTCTAGGTTTCCTCAATATAATGTTTTTCCATTCCATCCATTTCTTACATATTTTATTTTTATTTAGGGCTGAATAATATCCCATCATGAATATGTAGGTGTTCATTATCAGTCATCTGTTGAGGTACATGCAGGTGGTTGATTTCATTTTTTAGCTATTGTGACTAGAGCAGCAATGAATGAATGGGCAAATATCTTTGGAATGGGATACCTTTGGGCTGATGCCTTGGATTATGCTGTGTTTTTAAGATATTATATATATATATTATGATGTGCTTTTAATGTTTTGAGATGCTTCCACACTGATTTCCCCATCTAGTCTTCTGCTATATTCCCTTAGTTTACATGTCTGTTTTTATGCTGATATGACGATGGTTTTTTATCACTATGGCTCTGTAGTATGTTTCAAGATCAACGCTTCCAGCTGTGTTCCTTCTGCCAGGAGTAGCTTTGGCTATTTATGGTCTTTTGTGTTTACATATGAATTTTAGGATTTTTCTCCTCTAGATCTGTGAAGAACGTTGCTGGAATTTTGATGAGGATTGTATTGATCTGTAGGTTGCCTTTGGTATCACAGACATTTTCACAATGTTAATTCTGCCATTCCATGAAAGGCTTGCCATCATCTAGCATCTTCTTTAGATTCTTGGTTCAGTGTCTGGAAGTCTTTTACCTTCTTGGTTAGGTTTATTCTTTTTTGTTTGCTTGTTTTTGTTTTGATTTGTTTTGTTTGTTTTTTTTCTAGAAAGTTTTTTTTTTTTTCCTGTGTAGTGTAGTCCTGGCTCTCCTAGAACTTACTCTGTAGACCAGACTAGCCTCAAACTCAGAGACCTGCCTGCCTCTGCCTCCTCAGTGTTGGGATTAAAGGCGTGCACTGCCATCTTCCAGCAGTTAGGTTTATTCTTACACTTTGTATGAGAACTTCTTATTTAAAAAACATGTTATTTGTTATTTAAGAGATTCAACTTTTATATAATGTGTTTTCATAATATTAGACCCCCTAGCTCTTTTTGGATCTACTCTCCTTTCTTACCCACCCATATTAGGGTTACTATTTCTGTGATGAAACACCATGACCAAAAGCAAGTTGTGGAGGAAAGGGTTTATTTGGCTTACACTTCCATATTACTGTTCATCATCAAAGGAAGTCCAGACAGGAACTCAAATGCAGCCAGAACCTGGAGACAGAAGCTGATGCAGAGGCCTTGGAGGGATCCTCATGGCTTGTTCAGCCTGATTTTTTGTAGAACCCAGGACTATCAGCCAGGAGGTGGTCTTACCTACAATGGCCTGGGGCCTCCTGCATCAATCACTAATCAAGAAAATGCCTTACAACTGGATCATATGGAGTCATTTTCTCAATTGAGACTCCCTCTCTCTTATGACTCTTGTGTGTGTATCAAGTTGACATAAAACTAGCCAGTACACTACCAAACCTTGTGTCCTTTTAAACAAAACCAATAAAAACCCAAATAACAAGCCTTCAAGGCAAATTTGTGCTAACCAAACATTCTTGGATGCGTGGGCTTCATGGAAGAGTGGTCCCCTTACCAGGGGCTACACTCTTAGAGAAAACTGACTCTAACCGTCCCAGCAGCTAATAATTGCCAATTGTCCCATGGCTAGTGCTGGGATTGTGTTCTCTACTCCTGCTCCATGCTGGGATTTGGTCTTGGCTTGGGCTTGCACAAGTCTCATACCTACTGTCACAAACGCTATGACTTCGAATTCACAGCTGCTTTGCTATGTCCAGAAGAAGTTTCATTGTTATCATCCACCACCTCTGGGCTTTTACACCCCTTCTGCCTCCTCTTAAGTATTAAGATGGGTGAGGATGTGGTACACATGTTCCTTTTGGGGATGAGCAGTCTACTGTCTCTTATTCTCTGCATCTTGGCCAGTTGTGGATCTCTGTGTAATCACCATCTACCACAAATAAAAGCTTCTCAGATAAGTGTTTAAAAAAATCCATTAATCTGTTCATATAATGGTAAATCACTATGAGATAATTTAATACATCAGTTTAGCTGTTTAATAGTAGTAGGTTCTCCCCAGGGGCTATGACCAGGCTAGACTTTGGTTCTTGGCCTGGTAATAGTGCTAGGTATGGGTTTTATCTTGTGGAGTGGTATTTCAATCCAGTCAGAAAGTGGTTGGTTGCTCCCCTGATATTTGTACCTCTATTGCACCAGGAGACATGTGTTGCCAGGGAAGTCCTTACTGTAGCTTGTTCTGAGGCTACTGTGAGTGGTATATTTTTGCTGACTTTTTTTTTCTTAGTAAGTTTGTTTTTAGTATACATATAAAAACTACTGATTTTGTATTCGGCTATTTTAATGAAAGTGTTTATCAGATCCAGCATGTTTTAAACATTAGGGTCCTTTAAGTATAGAATCATATAATTTGCAAGCAGGAATAGTTTAACATCTTCTTTTCTGAGCTCTATCCCATTTATAGACTTCCCTTATTGTACTGCTCCATCAAAACTTAAGGACTTTATTTAATAGGAATAGAGAAAATGAGCACCCTTGCAGTTCCAGATTGGGAGGAAATGAGCTCTACTTTTCCCATTTAGTGTTATGCTAGCTAGGTTTATATAGTCTTTATTGTGTTGTGATATGAGGGAACATCACTTTTGTAACTTTCTAGGTTTTCATTTACTTTGAATTTCTTCAGCATAGAACTAAATGTGTTTAATCCAGGTGTGGTGATGCATGTCTTTTACCCTAGCACTCATGGGGCAGAGGCAGGTAGTTAGATCAAGGCCAGCCTGGTCTACATAATGGGTTACAGGAAAATCAAGGCTATATAATGAGATCTTGTCTCCCCAAATTAAAAACAAACAAACTTTGGCATTTCTAAATATCCAGAAAATGTATTTTAATTCCAAATTTCATGAACAAATTATAAAATGAGTATTTTTCTTGAGCTAGAAAATGTTTTAAGTGTATATATGTTTCTGGTACTGTTGTGGCCGCTTACAAGCCCAGTCTCCCCCCAGATGTGGTTTTAGTCTTAACAAGCAAGAAGTAAAAAATGAACTGGAAACTCATTACTGTCTGTATAGCACCTCTCCCTCACACATAGATAAAAGTAATTCAATTTCTATACTGAAAATGTATCATCATTATTAAGTTAATTAGCAATTCCTACTGTTCAAAATGGTATTTAAAATGTTTATAAAAATCTATAATAATGCATTAGTTTAATGGAAAATATCATAGAAAACATGTTTAGCAATGTAGTAGTACCCAGGTGTGGAGGACACAGTTTGTATTGTCAGCATCTGAAAGGCAGAGGCAGAAAGACCATCACAAGCTAGAGGCCAGTCTGAGCTACAGATTGAAACCCGTCTAAAAAATTGTCCAAAACTCCATCTCAAATACTATGTGGTAACAGATATTAGACTTCATGGCCCATTCTTAGAATTAGCAACACATGGTATTTGGAAAATATCTCAAGGTGATCAACACAACCTTTTGTGAATATAGAATTTTATTTCTAGTAAATTTATAAACTAGTTCACAATTTTATCAAGTAGTCTATAAAACTATAAATAGTAACTTTCTTTAGTCTTTAGAGATTTTTGTTTTGTTTTATTTTATTTATTTATTTATTTTTGAGATAGGATCTCTCTAGATAGCCTAAAATTCACTACATAAAACAGACTAGCCTTGAACTCATAGAGATCTGCCTGCCTCTGCCTCCTGAGTGGGATTAAAGGAATGTACCAGCATGCTTACAGCAGTTTCCAGTTAGCCTGGTCCCAGAGTTGCATCAGTCCCAAAATAACACATAGAGACACTGTATTAGATATAAAGCTGTTGGCCACTGGCAAGAGTTTTTTACTTGCTAGTTCTGTCTTAAATATTAACCCAATTTCTATCAATGTAAGTGTTTCCATGTGGTCTTATCTTACTGGAGCAAGGGTCCAGACCTCTTTTTTTTTAATGCATATAGAGTATTTTTTATTTAATTTTATATAACAAAGTCCAATTAAATGAAAACAAACATTTATACACAATATTTGGGAATTTGGGCGTCGTTCTTTCCAAACTACTTCCTGCTGGTAAGGGGCGCTGTCTTGGGGGATTCGAAGAAGATTCAGATATCCTAGCTGTAGTCTGTAGGGCTGTTTTGTCCAGCTGTTTGGAATGTAGGATCAGCTTGTACTCTGTTTCAGGCGGTCTGGTGTGATCAAACCACATTAGTCTGGAAGGAATACACATCTTTTCATTTTTTGTGGAAACAAAAATAGAAATACTTTTCCCCA